GTGTCTTTTATGTAATTCCGCCAAAAACCAAGGCTATGTTTATTCAGTAAAGATAACGCCGGAATATAAGAGTTAAAATTTAAAGGACAGATTTTAAAATATTCCACTAAATAAATGGTCCTTCCCTACATGAATATGCGTTTCTGAATATCTAATGTTTAGATATTGAAACTGTAAGAAGAAAACACATAAAGAAAACGATCTTTCAGACTATTTTTGTAAGTTACCGACAAATACTCGGCCCTTTGTCACAGAGGTACTAACAGTAGATTACAGTTTGAATTCAACAAGAAACACCAGAATGGCTGACTTTTTTATTTATTTAAAAATCCAACTTCATTGTACACCAATTTTCATGGAAACGCTGTCATAAAATCGGGAATTCTTAAGTTTAACGATGGAAAACAAAAAGGTATGAAGAACTAGAAGATTTAACTTGAAATGTGAGATATTACGTTTATCTTAATACGGCCCAGCATGGCCAGATGGTAAGGGGAGCTTGACTCGCAATCTGCGGGTCGCGGGTTCGAATCCCCGTCCCATCAAACATGCTCGCCCTTTCAGCCGTGGAGGCATTATAATGTGACGGTCAATCCCACTATTCGTTGGTAAAAGAGTAGCCCAAGAGTTGGCGGTGGGTGATGATGACTAGCTGCCTTCCCTCTAGTTTTACACTGCTAAATTAGCTTTGCGCGAAATTCAAAACAAACGTCTTAATACTGAAAACAACCCTCACATATGGTATTAAGCGACTTTATAAATAGTTATTGGTTTGTTTTAAACGAATAGTGGCATAAAATGTTTCTGCAATAAACATCAAAATATCACTCCAGCTTTCATTGCTGTTTGTTGTTAAGCACTAAGTATCGAAACCCGGTTTTTAGCGTTGTAAGCACGTGCACTTCAAACATAAGTTTTACGTCAGAGTGATAATTACCACTTTTGGTAAAAAAAAAAAAAATAATTTTCAATTAGATTCATAGACACATGTGCACGAAAGACGGACAGACATCTGATGGAGTTTCTGACACAAATACACCAGGATTACAATTAAAACCAAAATAACTTTTAGAGTAATATATTTTAGTGAAGATAATTCGATATTACTAGTTATTATTAATGTTTTAATTGAGAAAAATCATTCTAACAGCACAACTTACAATATAAATGAGTCACAGTAATTAACAATTATAGTAATCATCTTGCTTGTAGTTAATTAATTAATTAGTATATTGACTGCTGACAGAGCTTTCATTGTTTTTTAAGTAACATCTTGGTTTGGTTATCATCAATCACGGAACTACACGATGGGCTATCTGTGCTCTGCCCACCACGGGTATCAAAACTCAAATGTTAGCGTCAAAAGCCTACAGACTTAGCGCTGAGCCACTGTGGGCGGGTAACAACTTACCGGGTTTAGTCAATTTAAGTATTATGTGTAGACATAAATTCATATACTTTTACATTTACAAGTCCGTCCTCAAACATTCAAAATGTTTATCTACTAAAAATAAATGCTCTAATCCAAGCTATCACAAGTTGTGTTAAATTGGTATTGATCGTATATACATAATTCATTCAGCAACAACTGAACAAACACTTAATAATAAAACCGAAGAAACGTTATCACCTAAACAGCGGGGGATTATCAACTGTTTAGACACACAATTTGCCAATACGTTTAACATCGATATTACTAGCTGACGTTATTTTATTTGTATTTTTGTAACAACTGTATATTAAACAGCTCGTGCTAATAGTTCTTTTACTACTGTACTAATAAAACTACTCCCAATACAATAATTATTAAAGTGTACCCACAGCCATTATGGCACCTGCGCGGCTTATTTAAGGTAGGTAAACACGAGGCTGTTAGAACAAAATTTAAATGGTTAGCCTATATTTGAAGTCACTGTATATTACTAACATCCTGCTCCACAACTGCAGTAAGAAGTGTATCACACTACATAAAGTCGATATGATATGACTAATGACTTAATCAATAGAATGACTCAATATTTAGGAAAATGAGGTATGATTTGTACAGAAAAATTAATTTATTTCTTACAATTAATCATTAAATCCTCTTTTATATTAAATTGTAAAGACGCAGAATTAATTGCCTATTGTTGTTCGTTAAATTTCAATAACGGCGATGAAAATAAAAGAGATCCTTTGTTAAAAGTACCTTACAGAAAGAGGGAATTTAATACTACTTTGTCGTTATCCTTATCTGTCACTCTGGTGAGTTTTAAAGGTGAGAGTAAAGCTAAAACATTGCTAACCGAAATAATTTTCCTATATAATGCCAATTGAAGGGCAGTGAATTAATACGAAAAGCTTCTGTTTTACTTCCTTTATCAAAGCACTAAGGAAAAGGTGCAATTAAAAGAATTGCGGATGACAAGGCTTCTTGTTCTTACGGTGATTATTACGGATAACAGCATGAGTTTAAGATAGGATTAGTGTACTCTAATTTATGCCCTAGACATGCAGGATATTCACAGTAGAGAGAAAATAAGTCGATTCTGTGTATAATTATCATTAACTTAGCATAAAGCTCAAATTTCTTCCACTAAGCAGGCGGATAAAGTTAAATACACATAGTACAGCATATACTCTTGTATCATAGTTTTAAATCCCAAGAGTCGTACAGTTTAATATCGGCGGTTGTTAATAATTTAGTAATTCTTAATCAGTACATCTTATGCGCTCATTTTGTCCTGCGTTATTTGAATTTCTGGAATGAGAGTTAATTCAAATGACTTTACAGTATTATTTTAAATAGGCTGGTTTCTTTGAATTTAGCAAAATGTAAAATATAAAAAGGAAACTCTTATTAAATTAATAGTTTTATATAAAACAAAATAAATTCGTTTTGATTCGTGTCTTATCTTAAGAAAATTGAGTTTTGGGACTTTCTATAACTCACAATTAATGTAGACTAAACACTGATGAGCCCTAGTGGTACAGCGGTATGTCTGTGAACTTACAATGCTAGAAAACCGTGGTGGGCAGAGCACAGATAGCCCATTGTGTAACTTTGTGCTTAACTTCAAACAAACTAAACACTGAAACTAAACCTCGTGATCAACGCATGCCAGTCCAGAAAGCTATCTTAGGTTACCTTAATTTGATATTATTCGTGTTGCCTTGGAGGTGTAATGAATTTTAAGAAGTGTGAAAAATGATTAATTTACACTCATTTTATCCTCGTTTAGGCGAGGCTTTCGGTCATACGTTCCATTTATCCTATACAAATATATATATAATTTTTACTGCAGCCAATTAATTTCCTCTCATCACCTTTTACTTTATCGTAACTTATACCTGATAAGAATATTTCCAATATTTGTGAAAGACGTGTAAGTATTATGAGGCATATTTGTTTTTTTCAGTGCGAGGACATTTCACGATCATTAACAATTCCCATAAGCAGTACTAAATTCCATTCACGTGCATATAACATGCGTGTTTTCCTTCGTGCAAACTTACAGTGAAGGTTTCTTTATATATTCATTTTTTCATAAAACAATACCCTTTTTTATTCTATTGTTTTTCTCTGTGTCTCGAACCCCCTTCGTTTCTGCTGCAAAGTTAACAAGTAACTGCTAAACAAATCCCCTATAACAATGTTTCTCTCTCAACCAGATTTGCCAGACAACCCCCGCGTCCGTGCTTTGGTCGTCACGACCCCCATTATCTCAATAAGGATGAAAAAAAAAACAGTTCGTCATAGCTCATAACAAAGGTGATATGTGCACCTCTCGGATAGCTCGTGATCTCCTGGAAACCTGCTCTCGACGACCCACCGTTTGAGAAACACTACCCTATAACAAACAATTGATTGCCACTGAAGCTTGGTTTCTAAAGTTTAAGTAGCTTTAAGTTTATGTGAAATGGAAACAGTTTCATTCAACAGTGCAATTTTGACTTTAATAAAAATGATCTTGCACAACATAATACGTCTTGTACAGTTTTATTTACTTTAAACAAATTACATAAAATAATCGCCTTCGAGTGGAAACAATTAATATATCATTCCCAGTTCAGTGGGCTAGATGTTACTGACCAATTTTATACATCATACCCAGCTCAATGAGCTAGATGTTACTGACCAATTCTATATATCATAACCAGCTCAATGGCTAGATGTTACTGACCAATTCTATATATCATAACCAGCTCAATGGGCTAGATGTTACTGACCAATTTTATATATATCATACCCAGCTCAATGGGCTAGATGTTACTGACCAATTTTATATATATCATACCCAGCTCAATGGGCTAGATGTTACTGACCAATTCTATATATCATAACCAGCTCAATGGTCTAGATGTTACTGACCAATTTTTTATATCATACCCAACTCAATGGGCTAGATGTTACTGATCAATTTTATATATATCATACCCAGCTCAATGGGCTAGATGTTACTGACCAATTTTATATATATCATACCCAGCTCAATGGGCTAGATGCTACTGACCAATTTTATATATATCATACCCAGCTCAATGGGCTAGATGTTACTGACCAATTTTATATATATCATACCCAGCTCAATGGGCTAGATGGTTACTGATCAATTTTATATATAGCATACCCAGCTCAATGGGCTAGATGTTACTGACCAATTTTATATATATCGTACCCAACTCAATGGGCTAGATGTTACTGACCATTTTTTTTCCCCCGTGATCGTTTATTCTAAGTGACTCATTGATTCTTTTATATAAAATAAACCTAACGGTCGGTAAATACTGCAACTTCAGTAGCAAAGATTGGAATAAATTATCTTATAAAAACTGTACGTGAACACTTGAAACGAAAAAAAAATGCTATATTTCTATTCACGACATTAAAAGGAAAATATTTTTGTAACTAGGATTTTTCGTACAATTATGTATGATAAAAAATTGGTTGTATACAACCAGATTAGTATTCAAATATATGGTTGTCTTAGAAGAGATAAAAGTAAAGCACACGAGCTTACCTCGTCCACCTCCAATCCAGTTTCCGGCAACACATTCTAAAATATACCCAAAGCATAATAACGCTGTATTTAGTCTCCACATGATTGACTTGCTTCTTATTATATTACACACATATCATGATACTAACTTTCATAAGTAAGTCAACTTCAAAGCAATCCATAAAAAAGCCGCTCTTTAATTTATGACAGAGTAAAAGTCATAAAGTGTTAACGGTAAGCTCAACGACAATATAGAAGTACCCATCAATGACTCAAACCATCAAATTTTATCATCTCAGCAAGCTCCTCACGTTCCTAGTGCAGGCCTGTGATCTCAAGCTGGTAAAATGTGTTGTTACCACCGAGTTCACCACTTTAAGTACTTAGGCGCCCTCTACCAGCATTCCTGGCATTATTCAAATTCGTCGATATTGCACGTAAATGTATATGTTGGATAGCTATTATTAGAAACATGAATAATTTCAAAGTAAAATTTATATTACTGATTACTTTAGGAATTTTTTTAATTAGTTCTTGTTACTTGTTTTTATATTCAAAAGTTTGATTTCTTAGAATGTTTAAAAAGGATGGGTAAAGGATAAATGAACGGATATTTTTTTCTTTACATTCTATGAATTCAGGTCGGTAACACAAAGAAATAAATATACAAATTCAGTACCCTGCACAAAATCTATATAGTCAGGTATTCTATGTAACTGAGTCATGCACTTTATTCGAACATTGTAATTAAAATCAGTGTAAAAAAAATACACAATAAAAATCTAATATCTTTACTTCCAGATTTTCTGGAAAGCGTACGAATTACTCTTGAAAAATCAAAAAAAAAAATTGCAATTATTGCAAAAATCATCAATATTTAGAATTCGAAGACAGGAAAACAATCACGTTGGTTTCTGAACACAATCCAGAGAGGATAACTGAAATAAATTAATTCGAAAATAAGTGAAGTTTTCATTACACAAGAAATAATTCTTCAGTTACCATACATCGTGATATAACTTATATTTGTCGTTTTTTTTAATTATTCAGATCACTTGAAGCTTTATGTAAAACATAAGCCATCTTTGCAGAATAAAAAATGGTTGTATTTCTTCTTTCAGTCTCGAAATATAGTCTATAACATAAAAATCCGAGGTTCGATTCCTGCGGTGTAAATAGTACAGGTGGCCTCTTTGTGCATATTCGCACTAATAAAACCCATCGAAATACCGTTTAAAACTAATTTTTAGATGTTTCATTGCTATCATATTACAGTAAGCGATAAGCTTTTTGTAATGTGATTTAAGAGATTTTGTCTCTTACAGTTGGTAAGATGGGTCCTATATTATGTGAGAAGTTATGAAAGATCTTTAACATCAGTTACTCAAAACAGACTGTCATAAAGGATATTAGGTAATAACGGATTAATTCGTGAAATATATATTATTAATATTAATATCTCGTACGTTTAATTTTACGATGCATTATCAGGCCTGGCATGGCCTGGTGGCTACGACGCTGGACTAGCAAGCTGTAGGTCGCGAGAATGGACCCCATCATTGAACATGCTCGTCCTTTCAGCCACTGGAGCGTTGTAATGAAGCAGCCAATCCCACTGTTTATTTGTAAAGAGTAGCCCAAGAGTTGGCGGTAGGTAGTTTTGGCTTGTTACCGTCCTTGTAGTCTATGACTTTAAAGTTGGGTACGTTTAGGGCAGAATAGCTTTCGAGTAGCTTTGTGCGAAATTCAGCAAAACAAACAAACACACTTTCCTTATACAACATACAAGGCTCGACTCACAATCTGAGGGTCGCGGGTTCGAATCCCCGTCCCACCAAACATGCTAGCCCTTTCAGCTGTGGGGACGTTATAAAGTGACGGTCAATCCCAATATTCGTTGGTAAAAGAGTAGCCCAAGATTTGGCTTTGGCAGTTGATGGTGATGGCTAGTTTCATTCCCTCTAGTCTTTCAATGCTAAGTTAGGGACGGCTAGCGCAGATAACCCTCGTGTAGCTTTGCTCGAAATTCAAAAAACAAACAAACAATATACAATCGAAGAAACGGTCGTTATTTAGAGTACTTAATCAGTATATTATCTCAAGAGACTGTATATGATTTACATCATTGTATGAATGCTACATACCGTTCTGTTGTTGTTTGTTTCAAAGCAAAACCACTAGGCTGTTTGCTGCGTCTACCGCAGGGAATTGAACCCCGGATTTTAGCTTTTTAAGTCCGTAAACTTACCGCTTGCCCACCGGGGGACATTAGAAGTAACAGATACTTTTTCCTTTTTTTTCCATTGTAGAGTTTAAAAGTTTCCATTTTACACCTCTTAAAAGTCTCACTTGCCCCTCAGTGGCACAGCGGTATATCTGCGGACTTACAACGCTAGAATCCGGGTTTCGATACCCGTGGTGGGCAGAGCACAGATAGCCCATTGTGTAGCTTTGTGCTTAATTACAAACAAAGATACAAAGTCTCACCTACAACCGTACTTAAACTTTTCTGAATGTACAAATGTTATGCATTGTTATATAAACTGTTTCAGATTTTAATTTGTTTGCATTATAGTAAAACAAAACCTTTTTTTTATTTTAATGCACAAGTCATTTTATATTGGCACAGCACTTTGTGAACGATGTAAATTTATTCGCCTACGAAATAAGATTGTACGCTGGCTTTATTTTCACGTATGTATACATGCTCACATTATTATTTCAGGCTCATTCGAGTAAAGATAACAATCGAAAATCATTTTGTTTCTTGAAAAAAAAAAAAAAATTCTCGTTTAAGTTGTTAAAGCGGCAAACCAATCTCATATACACCCTTGGTGGGAATATGAACGAAACACTCTTGAACTATTTTAGCAAAGTAAATAAGTGAGTATATATATATATATAATAAAGGATGAAATATTATCCTACTAGTCATTTCGTGTTCCAAGCCTCTAAGGAAATGTTTCACTAGCAACATGAATTTCAAGCGACTGCCAACAACACTATTACAATTACTTCGTATTTACGTGAGCATAAAAACAGGTTATATATTTTCTTCTAAAGCCTCTCCTTCTTTATTTTGACGTATTTATATATTTTTTTATAAAACCGGGAGAGAAAAGGTATTTTAATTTCATTATTCATTGTGATATAAGTTTTGTTACCATTTGACAACTATATTGTGTTGGGATTCATGTTTGGCTTCTGTTGAAAACAACCATCTTGTGTAACATTAACCGAGTTAAATTATTATTTTTCGAAACTGTAGCACACTACAATTTCACGTTTCGGAATAACATATGTTCAATAATGTTATTTAGGATCTAGAGAAAAACACGTCAGTGCATCAAAACATGCCCCCCCCCCAGTTGCCCAGCGGTAGGTGTGAAGACTTACAACTCTAACAACGGGATTTTGATACCCGTGGTACGCACAGGACAGATAGCTCACTATGTATCTTTATGATTAACAGCAAACAAACAAACAAATATCAAAACGTTTCGCCTAAAGACAAGTAGTCCATTTAGAACTATTTAACTAGTTACTATATGCTTCCTAAGTCTTAACGAAAAGTAAAATTAGATATAAGAATAAAAACATAAGATCCTATACCATGTGGTTGTAATGTTCTCAGGTACAACGGTTATACTGCAAATTAATAGTAACCGCAAATAACAAGAGGAACGGCAGAAAACGGATCACGGAGTTAAACTGAATTTCTGACTGACTGCGTGTAAAAGATATATTAGATATAAGAATAAAAACATAAGATCCTATACCATGTGGTTGTAATGTTCTCAGGTACAACGGTTATACTGCAAATTAATATTAACCGCAAATAACAGGAGGAACGGCAGAAAACGGATCACGGAGTTAAACTGAATTTCTGACTGACTGCGTGTAAAAGAAAGTGCAAAGGACGAATACACGTAGACAAAAGACAGTAATGTTCTCTAAATGGAGACACAATTCTGAATCACATTAATATCTGTCCCATTCCCAAATCAATCTATTCTAGAATGAGAAAGTGATGAGTGTGTGCAGAAGAACCAGTGAGTTATTTCTTCCAAAGTTCATGTCCCACTAACGTCACTCTTCATTCCACGAGTACAAATAGGGCGGCCATATCCTTTAACTGCCTCCTCCCCGGTGGCTCAGCTATAAGACTGGGAGGCTTGTAACGCTAAAAGTCGGGTTTCAATACCTGCTGTAAGCACAGCACAAATAGTCATTATGTAGCTTTGCGTTTAACAAATATAATCCACCAGCTATACATTTCTTTAGTAGCCTCTTCCGTGAGAGAGTTTTAATGGCAACAAAATGGCATCTGTGTAGTTCCTCCGATTGTGCAAAATTTTGTTGCATTTTATCATGAATCTGGTAGTAGTTTTGTTGTTCTTGTTCATAGATGTGATTGGAAATTATTCGACTGTTAATAATACTTTTGATATTAGCATAGAGTGAAAATTTTTAATTTGAAATAAAATTAGAGACGAAATTGGACAGAATCCTTGAGCTACGTAAATTAGCTTATAAAATTTGGAATCAGCGTACTGTCTTGAATAATGTTGATGCCAAATTTTATTTCGAAAGCAGAATATTCTACACGAAATTGTTAGGAGTTAATCACACTATCATTCACATTTCAAAATGCAATGTAACTTAAAGAATGAAAATGTAGATTTACCGTATGTTATTGTTAAGCGGCTCTTGGCATGATTGAAATGCTCAACAATTACTTATCGAGGTGAGTGACATAAGTATCTCAGAGCTTTGGTTCCGAATGAAACCAATAGTGCAACACAATTAACCTTTTTAAAATTCATGAAATAATTTAACTTGATAGATTAACTTAACGGGTACTTTTGCTTGTGCAAAAAAAAAAAAAATGTGCAAAATAGATAAAGAAATCCTGGAGCGTAACGATAGTTGTCCCCTGGCGCAAAGTTTGAATTAAGTGTAATTTCAAAAAGAAACTGTAAAAAGAGTCGAAAATGAGCAAGTGAGTTGTTGTAATTAGGGTTGTAATTATAATTTTGAGATATACCAGTTTACATCTTGTTGTGCCTCCTATATACCATCAGTAGAACACAAATTATTTGATAGGTTTGTTTTAATTTTCGCTCACATAATTGTAATTCAACTCGTACTCCTTTTGAATAATCTTAACAGGGTGTGCCGAAAATTAAAGCCTGAAATCACAATACTTGTAATAAAAAAGCTCAAGAAAAAGCTTAAGTCTAGTTTTATTAATTTGATTCACGAAAGTGGCTCTGAAATTTTACCTATT